TTTAGAGAGGTGAGGATGAGACCCGGGAGGAACACGCAAGCAGCGTCAGTGGTATCCGTAACGTCCCAGTGGTGCTGTTGTGCGGTGTACTGATGGTTGTTTACTTTATTCAATCAATACCTACACTTTAAATGTATCAATAGAATTCCATGATACTGATGGCTTAATTCAATAGGTTGCATTCTAACGGATAGAATATTTAACTGGGGGGACACCCAAGTAGAGATGTTTTATCAGCTGATAGTTAAAAATGTCTATTATTCTGAAGAGAGGTCTAAGCCAGAGCTGTAGCTTTGGGGAGTCATCACTACAAACATCGTTACGGATTTGGAGACCAAATTTCTCATTTTAAAATGTGGGAATTCGGCCGGGCACAGTGGCTCGTGCCTGTAATCCCAGCACTTTGGGGGGCTGAGGCAGGTGGATTGCCTGAGGTCAGGAGTTCAAGACAAGCCTGGCCAACATTGTGAAACCCTGTCTCTACTAAAAATACAAAAAAATCAGCCAAGTGTGGTGGCGTGAGCCTGTAATCCCAGCTACTCAGGAGGCAGAGGGAGGGGAGCTGCTTGAACCAGGGAGAGTGGAGGTTGCACTGAGCCAGGATCCCGCCACTGCACTCCAGCCTGTAACAGAGCGAGACTCCGTCTCAAAAAAAAAAAAAAAAGTGGGAATCCAAGAATTGAAAAATGAGATGGATAAGCTAAAATGTATGATGTATTTTTGTAAAGAAAAAATAGTCAATGAGATCAGAGAACTTCAATTAAAAGAAAAGGGCATGTTTTCTTAAAAGAGCAGCCACTGTCCTGGCACACCTGGGTATCTCTTAGCAAGAAAGGATGGTGGGAGATGTCTGAAACCAGAAGCTTAGGGAAGGAAACGGGTAGAAGCCTAGAAAGGACTGTCTCAAGAGAGGGTTTGTGCCGTAAGATGAACATTCAGGGAAAAACAAATATACAGACTTAAGGAGAGATGTCCTGTATGTCAAGAGTGGGAATAGAATTAGACCTTTTGAAAACATAGCTGTCTTTAGCCAGGGGCATTGGCTCCCTGCTGTAATCCAAGAACTTTGGAGGCTGAGTTGGGCGGATCACTTGAGGCCTGGAGTTTGAGACGAGCATGGGCAACATGGCAAAATGTAGTCTCTACTAAAGACACAAAACAGCTGGGCATGGTGGCGCATGTCTGTAATCCCAGCTGCTCGGGAGGCTGAGGCATGAGAGAATTGCTTGAACACTGGGGCAGAGGTTGCAGTGAGTCGAGATTGCCTGTGTGACAGAGCGAGACTCCATCTCAAAAAAAAAAAAAAAAAGCTCTCATCATCTCAGTACTTTTACTAGTGCAGAAATTGATAGAGTGAAAGTGTAGAAACACTGAAAAATCTTCAACCAGAGCATCTTCCAGAAATTCCCCCATCCTCCTTTCATCCTCTTGTCTTACTAATTTATATTTTACAGACAGAGAAGGAGGAAACTCGAAAATGAGTCTGTGTTTCATTTCCTGAAACCCTGCTGTGGGGATTCAGTTTGTCGTAGCTGCTCATTGCCTGCTGAAACCCTTCTTGCTTTCTAAGCTGGGACATTTGAAACTTTCTGTAGGAAGAAGAAAAACAGTTGCCTAGTCATCTTCCAAAGGGATGGACCGTAGCAAGCACCCTTGAGGCTCTTTGTAGTGGCTCCCAGGGAACAATTACTGTTTCTGTTGTTTTGAACCTTGCATCTCCGTGACTGGCAGTTCTAGCATAAGTGGTACTTGGCTAATATTAAGAGAAAGTGTATTTAGAAATAAGCTAAAGCAGCACCTCCAGAACACTTTGCCGCATGACTATGGCAAAGGGAAAGGGGCTTTTCGTTCTAGGCAGAGACTGTCTTTGGCTTAGGTCTGGAGAAATGATAGAAGCAGGAAGTTTTTCTGTTGCTCTTTCCATGAAAAAGCTTCTCATGGAAAGAACAACAATTTTAGTTACAAAGTGACGATGACGTGGTGATAAAATAAAGGCCAGGAAGAAACAGGATGGAAATTACCATTAACAGTGCAGAACAGGAAATGGGCCTTGAGTTTTCAAGTTTATAGCAAATTAAGGTAGCACTAGATCAGGGAGAGAAGAAAGTTGATAAATGTATTGACATACCAAATCAATCTCTGTCTTCCTTTCACTTGAAATTAGGGGAAAAGGGAGACATTGTAAAAATTAACCCGATATTGCCATTGTAGAGAAAAGTTAACTGAGTCCTGAGAAACACAGCTCAGCTTCCATTCACGGCAATAAGAGTTACCGTTTATTAATGTTAGTCATTATTCTGAATATTTTACTTGTCATTTTCATAAGAGTCTCATATAGGCAACTCTGTTTGGTAAATATTATGTTACCATCCCCATTTTACAGATGAGAAAAATAAAACACAGAGGTTAAGTAGCTCACACAGTGTCACACACTGGTTCACAACAGCAAGGTTTTCTGTACATCCAGACAGTATGAGCCCAGAGCCTTCTTTTCTGCCAGCTGTGCCTCCGGCAACATTTCCACTTGGAACTGTAGTGAGGCTGTTTAAGGGAGATGCAGAGAGCAGACAGCTGCTGACTCTGTGCATACATCAGGCATGTCTGTTTAATCTGTGTTCTGGTCTTCCTAAATTTCTAATAGTCTGTATTAATTATTGCAGTTACAAACTGTGGATGACAGCCATAGCGGATATTCCCGCAATTTGAGTTTGTGGAGAAGGCAATTAATATTATCAAGTGGTTGGTATAAGTAACCCCCAATCTGGAAAATGTGTTACTTTATTTATTTTTATTTTTTTGAGTTGGGGTCATGTGGTGTCACCCAGGATGGAGTGCAGTGGCACCATCTTGACTCACTGCAACCTCTGCCTTCCAGGCTCAATCAATCTTCCCATGTCAGCCTCCAGTATAGCTAGGACTACAGGTGCACGCCGCCATGCCTGGGAGATACGCATGGTAGAGATGGGCTTTTATCATGTTGCCCAGCCTGGAATTTAAGACAGGAAAAAGAAACTTACCCACAAAGTTCTCTTTATCCTGCTTCTCAGGTGAAGACACCCCAGAATCCGTCTCATTCTTGAGAAGCTTTTATTCTCGTTCTTGAGAACATTTTTTTTTTTTTTTTGAGACAGAGTCTCACTGTATCGCCAGGTGCCAGGCTGGAGTGCAGTGGCACAATCTTGAAACACTGCAACTTCCCCCTCCCGGGTTCAAGCAATTGTCCTGCCTCAGCCTCCCGAGTAGCTGGGACTACAGGAGCACACCACCATGCCCCGCTAATTTTTTTTGTATTTTTAGTAGAAATGGGGTTTCACCATGTTGGCCAGGATGCTCTCGATCTCTTGACCTCATGATCCACCCGCCTCGGCCTCCCAAAGTGCTGGGATTACAGGCTTGAGCCTCTTGAGAACAGTTTAAAGATGAAGTTGCTAAGAAGAAAATAACAAGGTGGTTGGAAGAAGGAAAACTAGAAAAGACAAGATGGCCAGGGAGAGACCTGAGTTTTTTTCTATTGTTTTGTTTTCACAGTATAATATAATAAATGCCACGCAATTAACATAATAGCATACAAAAGAAAGACAAGATGCATTTGGGACATTGATATGAGAGAAATTAATATTAGAAAATTAGAAAATTGGTGTTCTCAGTATTGGAATACCCACAAAATTGTCCTTGGTTCTAGATGGTGTGAGGAAAGAAGGACTCCTAATACAGGATCCCGAGGATCTGGATTTGAGAAAGCACTTTGCCATTTGAGAGCTGTTTTCATTTGTGAATCATTTATTCATTCTTTCAGCAAGTATTGTTGAATATCAACCATGTGCCCACATGTTCTAACTGTTGCAGATGCAATGGGAAATATTAGACCAAGTCACTCGCCTCGTGGAAATGTTTGTGAAGGGACAAACAGTAAATATTTTAGGCCTGATGGCTTGTATGGTCTGTGACACAACTACTCAAATCCACAGGTTTAGTGCAAAAGTGACCGTAGACAATTCAAAAACGAAAGAGCTGGGCATGGTGGCTCATGTCTGCAATCCTGGCAGTTTGGAGGCCAAGGCTGAAGGATCACTTGAGCCCAGCAGTTTGAGGCCAGCCTGGGCAACATAGCAAGACCCCATTTCTATGGAAAAAAAAAATTAAAAATTAGCCAAATGTGATGGTGTGCACCTATAGTCCCAGCTACTGGGGAGGCTGGGGCAGGAAGATTGCTTGAACCCTGCAGGTCCAGGTTGCGGTGAGCTGTGATTGTGCCACTGCACTCCAGCCTGAGGAGCAGAGTGAAATCCTATCTCAAAAATAAATAAATAAATAAAAGGACATGCTGTGTTCCAATAACACTTTATGTTTTAAAACCAAATGACAGATCAAATTTAGCTGGCAAGCTACAGTTTGTCAATTCTTGGTCTAGAAGAAGAAACAGACACAAGCCAAATAATTATGTGAATGATAACACATGCAAATATCCATGGCAAGAAGACACGTCAGGCTTTGGAGGGACTGACAGGAGACCAAAGGAGCTGCTTCAGGGAGCGGCACATGAGTCAGGCTGGCAAGGGAGGGAGGGGCAGACCAGCAGGGTCAGGTAGGACACTTAGGAGTTTGGTCTTCACAATACTGACAGTTGGCAGTATTGGACTTATTTTAAGCAGGGTGGTGACGTGATCAGATTTGAGTTTCAGAAGATCACTCACTGCAGTGTGTAGAATGAGTTGTGTTAAATGTTCTCATCTGAAACCTGAGGATGGATACACTTGCCCTGTGTTTGAAACAAGTTATTGTGTAATCAGTGATTACACAAGGTGCATAGAAGTGTTTTACCAAATACAAGTGCTACAGAAAAATTACACAGTGATATTGTACAGGATGCAATACCCCTAGATGGTCATATTCTTTCAAGTTTTCTCTATGAACAAAGGCATTCCGAACTCCTAAAATAAATCTTTTTGTTTATGTTACCAGGCTTCCCTCACCAGGGCAACTACTCCTTAGGGAGTTCACTAAAGAGAAGGAATGTCTCTCACTCTCTCATGCTCTCCCCTCTCCCAAGCACATCTGAGCTGCTGCCTGGACTTCACGCTCAGTCCCAAACCCATGAAAAATTGCCAAGTATAAAAGCTTCTCAAGAATCAGATGGATTCTGGGGTGTCTCCACCTGAGAAGCAGGAAAAAGAGAAATTCGTGGGTAAGTTCCTTTTTCCTGTCTTAGGCTCGTTATATATATATATATATATATATATATATATATGGCAAAGCAGGAATTGTAGCATTATTGGGAGGTATAGAGTAAGCATGAGATATATTTGCAGAAATTGGTTTCCATATCATTTATAGCTCAAGATTTTGAATTCATTGCTTATGCTGATTTCATTTGCTTCTTGAATAGCAGTCTATAACTTGCTTTACTTTTCCTTCAATTTTAGATAGAATTGGTGATTCTCTTTGCATTTCTTCCTTTTGTACTAAATAGCAAAGATAAGTTGAAGAGGCTGACTTTTCTCCAACTTCAAATATCTTCTGATGATGCTGAGACTAAAAAGAGCAGTTCTGGCCGGGCGCGGTGGCTCACGCCTGTAATCCCAGCACTTCGGGAGGCCGAGGCGGGCGGATCACCAGGTCAAGAGATCGAGGCCATGCTGGTCAACATGGTGAAACCCCGTCTCTACTAAAAATTAAAAAAAATAGCCAGGCATGGTGGCGCGTGCCTGTGGTCCCAGCTACTCGGGAGGCTGGGGCGGAAGAATTACTTGAATCCAGGAGGCGGAGGTTGCAGTGAGCCGAGATGGCGCCATTGCACTCCAGCCTGGCGATAGAGCAAGACTCCATCTCAAAAAGAAAAAAAAAGAAAAGTTGGTTTGCGCTGCATCATGTTTGATAAATGGAGAGAAGTTGGGAAAAAGAAAAGCCTATAAGTACTAAGTACTATCCTTACCTCTAATCACTATTATGTTACAAAGTATTTGCTTGCATTATCTTTTAAAATGTTACAATAATTCTGAGGTAGATTCTCTTAGAGTCTCATTTTACAAATAAGAAAACCAAGCTTTGGAAAGTTTAAAAACTTGTCCAGAAAGTGATGGTGATGATGATGGTGTGTGTGTGTGTGTGTGTGTGTGTATGATCTAACCTGTGCTCTATATTATGTTGCCAAAAAAGCCATACTGCATGTTAGAAAGAGAACACATTTGACATCATTAATACATAAAAGAATAAACGAGGCTGGGTGCACTGGTGCACACCTGAAATCCCAGCACTTTGGGAGGCCAAGGCAGGCAGGTCACTTGAGCTCAGGAGTTTGAGACCAGCCTGGGCAACATGACAGATCCCCATCTCTACAAAAATCACAAAATTTAGCCAGGCATGGTGGTGCACTCCTGTGGATAAGTGGGAGGCTGAGGTGGGAGGATCGCTTGAGTCCAGGAGGTTTAGGCTTTAGTGAGCCGAGATCATATCGCTGCACTCCAGCCTGGGTGACAGAGCAAGACCCTGCCTCAAAAAGAAAAAAAGAAGAAGAAGAAGGAAAATAAGTAAAGAAAGAAAAAGGAAAAAGTATATATTTAGAGACATTTACCTGAATTGGAAAATAAACTTTTCCATGAAATAGGCATGGAAACCCTGATAAGCTTGAAGGCAGTCAATATCATCTGAAAATGCAAGCGGGAGGTCTCAAGAGTCCCCTGATTTATCTATCATGAGACACTCAGTTTCCATAGTAATAGGTCAAAATATCAACTGGGTAGATGGCGTGCTGAAGCTGTATCCTCAGTGAGATACTTGAAAGTATTCATGAGTTTTCTTGGTTTTGATTCTTTAATGTGAAAAACTGGCACTATTATAGAATGAACAGAAATGAGGGTCTTATATTTTGCAACATCTGATTTCCTGTGCTTTTATAGTTTCTTAGGAGAGATGCAGTGTGGACCATTCTCTGAGCTCTGTGGGCTGTTGGCCCTTGCAACTTAGATATATACGTACATATATGTGTGCGTATATATATATAAAATATTAATATATATATATTAAGGCAATGTTATTCAGTCGTGTAAGCATTATAGACATTTTCCTTCACAATTGGTGAGGACATTATTTAATATATAAAGAACTGAGCCCTTATTATCATTTCCAACAGGAAAGTTATGTGGGAGTGTGCTGCCGGCACACTTTATTTATTGTATTTTTAGAGATGGAATCTTGCTCTGTCGCCCAAACTAGAGTGCAGTGGCGCGATCTCAGCTCACTGCAACCTCACCCTCCTGAGTAGCTGGGACTACAGGCACGTGCCACCATGCCTGGCTAATTTTTGTATTTTTATTTTTTGTAGAAGTTGGGTTTCGCCATGTTGCCCAGGCTGGCCTTGAACTTTTGGGCTCGAGCGATCCTCCGGCCTCAGCCTCCCAAAGTGCTGGGATTACAGGCATGAGCCACTGTGCCAGACCTGGACCAGCTTTTGAAAGTCACTTGTAAGCATCTTTTTCTAACTCCAAACTCTTGACATCACAAGGACAGATTAGAATCACCTGAAGGGGTAGGTGATATTTGCACTGTGGAAACACTATAAATTAAGACTTTCTCCCTTTCCCCAAAAGCCCAATTTTTAGACTTTTATTGTCACACCACTACTTACTAGCTTTTGACATTCTTTTCTGCCCCCGCTTTATTATTTTTGTTTTGTTTTCTAAGAATTAAAGTGAATTGGAATCTAGATCACAGAAATTAGATTCTCTTCTCAAAGTGAACATGCAAAAGAATCTTCCTGGGGAGCTCCTTAAAATACAGATTCCTACTCCCTGCCCCCAGAAGTTCTGGTACTTAGTCTGTGTCTGTGCTGGGTTTAAGATTTTGCATCCAAAGCCGCTCCTGTGAGCTGGTTTAGTTGCCACACGAAGACAGCATTTTGAGTAGGACTATATTCCTTTTCAGCAATTCTGTGCTTTCCTGAAAAGCATTCCTTAATAATGCAAGCTGTGTGCATAGAGAAAAAGAAAGGAGGGAAGACGAATTACAGGGGATGAAAAGATAATGTTTACCCCTCGGATATTACTTTAGAGTTCATGTTGGACGCTCAAAGTTCTTTATTCTCTAGAGAAAGAACCAGAAAGTTTCTGAAGTTCTATTTTGCTGACTGCATCTTCACAGGATTGGAAGTGAACACAGAAAGGGAGATCGAATTGCTAACGCTTATCCCCAAGCTGAATAAAAATGATTGTTCTCACTCCACATACTTTCACTTTCCTCTGGGAAGCATCTGGTCTTCCCTGCTCTGATAATACAAATAACTTTTGTTTTAAGTTGAGGTGATTATTTATTTAAAATTTTACTTTGAAAAATGGTAACTATAGGCTAGGTGTAGTGGCTCATGCCTGCAATCCCAGCACTTTGGGAGGCAGAGGCAGGCAGATCACCTGAGGTCAGGAGTTTGAGAGCAGCCTGGCCAACATGGTGAGACCTTGTCTCTACCAAAAATACAAAAATTAGCCAGGTGTGGTGGTGGGCACCTGTAATCCTCGCTACTGGGAGGCAAGGGAATAACTTGAACCCGGGAGGCAGAGGTTGCAGTGAGATGAAATCATGCCACTGCACTCCAGCCTGGGCAACAGAGTGAGACCCCATTTCAAAAAAAAAAAGGTAAATATATCAAAAATGAAGAAAACTCAGAGCAATGAAAACCACTTATACTTTCGTTATTTAGAAATAGCCACTGGGTGATAGAGTGAGACTCCATCTCAAAAAAAGAAATAGTATTTTGGTTAATTTTCTTTCAAAACTTTTTCTATACATATACTTCTATATAATTGTGATTCTACTGTCCCTATAATTTTGCATCTTACTATTCATTTCTTTTAACATCATACCATAATTATTTTCTCATGCTTTTGTAAACTTTATACACACACACACACACACACACACACGCGCACACATAACATTGTGTAGATGTATTATAGTTTGCTTAATTTTCCCTCCATTGTATTGTCAGGGTGGTTTTCATTTACCACTGCTATAAATCACACTGTAATGAGACTTTAGGACATAAATCTCAAGGACAGTATTTTTATTTGTTATTGTTGGCAGTGCTGTTATTACAGATGGAGAGGACTGAAAGCAAGGGAGTGTGGGGAGAGAAGATGATGCGGGAAAACGTTATTTCTTTCTTTTTTTTTTTGAGACAGAGTCTTGCTCTATTTCCCAGGCTGGAGTGCAGTGGCACAATCTAGGCTCACTGCAACCTCTGCTTCCTGGTTTCAAGTGATTCTCCCACCTCAGCCCTCTGAACAGTTGGGATTACAGGTGTGTGCAACCATACCCAGCTAGTTTTTGTATTTTTAGTAGAGATGGGGTTTCACCGTGTTGGCCAGGCTGGTCTCGGACTCCTGACCTCAGGTGATCCACCTGCCTCGGCCTCTCAATGTGCTGGGATTATAGGCGTGAGCCACGGCACCCGGCCCTGTTTTCTTCTTGTAATGATGTACAGGTGATGGTACAGTAAGGCAGAATGTATGGAGAAAAATGCAAGGACATATGGTTATTTCATTAATGAACTTTTTGGAGAGAAAACAGAATCTCGTCTGATGAACCATGATTTCTATACAAGGATTTTCAAACAGATTAGTGAATCTACTATGCGGCTGGCCATCATCCTGATCCTGTACTTCAAAGTACTTCAAAGTATGCACTGTATCCATTCAGCATCATCTGTGAATCAGGAGGTGGAGACATGAAAATAAAATACCTGCTCTCAGAGCACTAAAAATTTACGGGGAAGAAGCAAAAATTTGCTAAAAATTACGAGGTCCTAAAAAAAAGTTATGATAGAGGGTGTACCATCATGTGCTCCTTAACAATGAGGATACATTCTGAGAAATACGTTACCAGGTGATTTTGTCCTTGTAAGAACATCATAGAGTGTACCAACACAAGCCTCAGTGGTACAGCCTACTACACACTAGATGGTATGGCCTATGGCTCCTAGGCTATACACTGTACTGAATACTGTAGGCAGTTGTAACACTATGGTAAGTATTTGTGTATCTAAACATAGAAAATGTACGGTAAAAACACACCATTATAATCTTATGGGACCACCATTGTTTCTGTGGTCCATCCTTGACTGAAACATCATTACATGGTGCATGACTGTATTAGAAACTCAAAAGAGAAGCACCCGAAGGTGAAGGTGACAAAGAA